GGGATGCACTGGGGGAGAGAAGACATCTTCTCGCATTTCTCTGTGTTTCCAGAGAGGAAGGAACTTTTATTCTCCTCTCCACAGAAGTGAGAAGCCCCATACTGGACAGAACACACCCAGCTTTCCATTCTATGACCTTATTTGCACCTTTCCACAGGAGGAAGAGAAACTAATCTGATTGATCTGAGTCCAGGACATTCAAAGGACTGAGTTTTTATCAGGACTGGTGCCTGAGTGCACAAGGTGTGCCACGGTCCTGGACTGCATCCTGATAAATCAGGGTCTGTCCTCAAACCTGGCAGTGTGAGGGGGTAGGAAGCTCTCCCTCTGTGTCTACTTTCAGTTCCAGGAATGACAGGGACACCCAGGGTCACACCATGGCATGACCTCCTATCTCAACACTTATTGGAGGAGGAGGCCATATCAGTGAATCCTAGAGCCCAACTGCCAGAAGCACCCTATTCCTCAGAAGCACAGTTCCTAAAACTTAACGAATGAAAGACACTGTGGCCTTAAACATGAGACATCTTCACCTTCTCTTTTAATAGAGTCATGTCTCTCACTTTACCAATTCTCAAAATATATGGTTTCTCTTTACATACATACACAAACACTTTTAAACATAAATGCCAAATTCAAAAGAAGCAGAGGAGTAGATAAATTTATGGAGCCACAGAATGGGAGAAAAGGCCAGTCACCAGATTTTACAAAAGATCACCTGAACTCCTTCTCTGGACATTCAACTTGATATATTATCCTAAATATCCCATGTCACATGGTCCACAAGTCTTCCTTTAGGATTCTGAAGCAGTCAATAGCCATACTTGTCATTAAGATGGGTCCTGCCATCTCCACTTTGGCCTAGATCAAAGTATAAAGAAAAAAAAGAAATACATTCACTTCTCCAAACTCAGGAGGGAAAAGATACCCAGACATTAGTGTCCGAAAAAGTAAAACAGACAAAGAGGTTTCTTCTATTCCAGAACTCTGCCCTTTGGCATATGATTTCAAAACATGGTCGTCTTTTCATGTCTACCTTCACATTTATTAGCTGATAAAAAGCAAACATTTCTAGTACCAAAATTTCTGTTAACTACTAGTGTATGAGAAACTTGATCCATAGAAAAAGCAACCTGTGATAAGCTTATGGGGAGCAAGCACCTCATATACTGCCTTAAGTGCGTGTGTATGAACATAAGCTGTATACTCTCTATAGAATGCAATTCACAATCTCAAAAATGTTTATAGTCTCTCATCCAGTATGTTAACTTTTACAACTTTTTTTTTCTACACACACAACTCTACACTTGCAAAATTATGTTATGTTAGAGACTACTTACTGCAGAGTTGTTTATAATAGCAAAACTGGAAAACAGCAAATATTCACTGAGGGAACTGGTTAAATAAGTAAAGGTATATCTATACCATAAAAAAGAACTATGCTACAAGAAGAAAGAAAGAAAGAAAGAAAGAAAGAAAGAAAGAAAGAAAGAAAGAAAGAAAGAAAGAAAGAAAGAAAGAAAGAAAGAAATCTATAAATAGATATGGAAGGATATCCATAGAGTGATAAGTACAAAACAAAAAGGTACAGAATATGCTTCTATTTGTGTAAAAAAGGTGGTGAAATATCATGTATTTTATTGTTTACACAGGCATTTCACGTGACACATATAAGAAGCCACAGAGGGGCTCCTGGGTGGCTCTGTCTATCAAGCATCTGACTCTTGATTTCGGCTCAGGTCATGAGCTCACAGTGAGATTGAGCCCTGAGTCAGGCTCTGTGCTGACAGTGTGGAGCCTGCTTGGGATTCTCTTTCTCCCTACCCTTCCCTCAAAATAAGTAAATAAACATTTTTTTTTTAAGTCATAAGAAAGTGATATTTTGTTGGCTTTAATGGAAAATACTGAGTAGCTGAGGTAGAACTAGAAGTTGTTGTTTTTTAACTTGAAAGAAATTTTAAAATACATGCAGAAGAGAAAAATACAATGAACCTCCATGTACTCATCACCCAGCTAAAACAATTATCAATATGTGGCAAATCCTGCTTTGTCTACTACTCCCTCATCCTCTGCTTCTACTGGATTATCTTTTTTTTTTTTAATGTTTATTTATTTTTGAGAGAGAGAGAAAGAGAGGGAGGGAGGGAGGGGCAGAGAGAGGCGGAGACACAGAATCCAAAGCAGGCTCCAGGCTCTGAGCTGCCAGCACAGAGCTCAACATGGAGCTCAAACTCATGAACGAGATCATGACCTGAGCCAAAGTCAGACACTTAACCGACTGAGCCACCCAGGCATTATCTTAAGGCAAATCTCAATTATCATTCCACCTGTGAACATTCTGTACACAGTCCTAGAAGAACTTTTCCTAAAAAACATAATTCACACTTTGAAATAATTAATAATTTCCTAATAGTATCAAACATCTGGCTAGTATGCAAAATTATCCAACTTGTATGTAACTTTTTTAATAGTTGTTTGTTCCAGGGGCGCCTGGGTGGCTCAGTCGTTAAGCGTCTGACTTCGGCTCAGGTCATGACCTCATGGCTCGTGAGTTTGAGTCCCTGCATCAGGCTCTGTGCTGACAGCTCAGAGCCTGGAGCCTGCTTTGGATTCTGTGTCTCCCTCTCTCCCTGTCCCTCCCCTAGTTGTGCTCTATCTCTGTCTCTCAAAAATAAATAAACGTTAAAAATTAAAAAAAAAAATAGTGGTTTGTTCCAATAAGGATCCAAGCAGAATCCACAAATTATACTTGGTTGATATATCTCTTTAGATCTTTTACTCTACCTGTTCCCCTAGAAGGGAGAATTTTCCCACTTCATACTCTTATAAAAACTTCACATTTTGAACCTTAAACATACATTACCTACTCAGAAATATAAATAAGTCTTAAGGAGAATAAGTCTCAGAAGAGAAGAAAAGTAAATACAATCTACCTTCAGGTGGGACCCATACACAGTAGTCTGGGTCATCTTCTGGATATCTGGAGGAAAGTGTTGCTGGAAGCTGCAAAGAAAACATAAGTTATTTTACTGAAAATAATTTTAACTCTAAGAACTATTATCCCTATGCCTGTCAGCAAACAAAAACTAAGAGCAGCTTCCATTAATTACCTTCGCATAAGTAACCAAAAAATGGCAGAACATCTCTGAACCTTGACTTTTTCCTGTAAAGCCTCAACAAGCTGATTTTCAGCCAGTGAGAGTGAGTGAGGTTTTTTAAAAGAGGCAGTTAACAGAGATATGAGTTCTAATGGTATGATCTCCATACAGGGAATTTTGGTATTTGTCTTTTGATCTAGGTGGAGAAAAGAGTTAACAGAGCAAGCCTGACTGCTATCCTTTGAAAAGCCTATTTGCAAGGTTGGCCCTCGCCTAGTTTCTGGGGACTTGGATTTCAGGAGGGTTCCTACTACCCTGATAAAAGTGGCTCACTATGCCTAAACTGTCTGTAAAAAACAATAGGGTTCATGCTGAACATCTACTTTCCTTCTTGGAGAATGAAACTGGAGTACATGCCAGGCAGGAGGTACCCATATGATCAGTCCCCAGTGGGCACTGAGTCTCTAATGGGCCTCGCTGGTTAGCAACATTTCACAAGATGTCACAACTCACTGCTAAGGGAATTAAGCACATCCTGTGTGACTCCACTGAAAAAGGACTCTTGGAAGCTTAGCCTGGTTTCCTCAGACTTTGCCCCATGTGCCTTTTCCCTCTGTTGACTGTGCTTGGTATCCTTTACTGTAGTAAATCACAGCTGTGAGTACAACTACATGCTGAGTCCTGTGAGGCCTCCTATGAATTATCTAGCCTGAGGGTGGTCTTACGGACCTCCTAACACAACTAGCAATCCCACTTTTGGAAACTTACTGTATCCATACAAAATTTTGTACACACAAGATTAGTCCTTATAGCACTGTTATAATAAAAGACTAGAAACAACCCAGCGTCAGGGCGCCTGGGTGGCTCATTCGGTTGAGTGTCTGACTTCGACTCAGGTGATGATCTCACAGTTTGTGGATTCGAGCCCCATGTCGGGCTCTGTGCTGACAGCTCAGAGCCTGGAGCCTGCTTTGGATTCTCTGTCTCCTTCTCTCTCTCTCTCTCTCTCTCTCTCTCCCTCCCTCCCTCTCTGCCCCTTCTCTGCTCGTGCTCTATCTCTTTCTCAAAAATAAACATTTTTAAAAATTAAAAAGAAAACAAAAGAAACAACCCAGCATCAATCTATGGAGAAATGGTTAAGTATAGTACATCCATACAGTAGGAAGCCCTTGGTATACCAATACCTATTATGATTTCCACAATAGGTTAAAAAAAAAAAAAAAGATGTACAATGCAGTACATTACATTCTATTTTTCTTGTAATAAAAGGTCAAATAAGAATATATTATTCAAATGTCTTTGTATGGCGTAAAAGGATATGAACAAAGATTCACAAATTAATAAAAGAGGTATATGCACAGTTATAGGGAACAGTGTGGATGGAGACAACAGAGAATTCAGAAAACAAAAATTCAAAAATAAGAGAGCCCAGACTTCTAGAAGAGGAGGTATTACGCAGTAGGGAACTCTGCTAAGGTGATCCCTAAAAATTCACTCTTCTGAATGTGGTCCATGACAAGGGGATTCATTTTTACTCCTAGAGACGTGAAGATTACGACTAAGGTACTTACTTTGCCTGGACCGGGAGCTTTCTTTTTCTTCAATTCATTTCTGTTTTTCTCATATTCATTCTTTGATGCTAATTTGAGAAAAAGAAAAAAAAAAGAGGCAATAGCTATTTCAGAATAAGTAAAATAGAAAAGAAAAATTCCTCCTTAGAGAACATTAAAAAAATTGAAGAAAACATGTAACAATCAAATTCTTAAAAATTCCCTCTACTGTCAAGATTCTATTAAAGAGAGAATTTTCCCTCTGCTAATAACCCTAGCTTTCAAATCCAAACGCTGTTCTAGAGCTTGAATATAATCGCACTATTTGAAAAAGGAAAGGAAAATGGGCTGATTTTACTATTCTACAGTTCAACCATTACAGTTAAAAGCAGTAGAGGGGTGCCTAGGTGGCTCAGTCAGTGAGCATCCAACTTTTGATTTCGGCTCAAGTCATGATCTCCCGGTTTGTGGGTTTGAGCCCATATCTGTACTGTTAGTGCAGAGCCTGCTTGAAATTCTCTCTCTGTCCCTTCCCCACTCTCTCAAAAATAAATAAATAAACCTTTTTTTAAAAAAAAAAAGCAGGGGTGCCTGGATGGCTCAGCTGGTTAAGTGTCTGACTCTTGGTTTCGGCTCAGGTCATGATCTCACGGTTTGTGGGTTCGAGCCCCACATCAGGCTCTGTGCTGGGTGGCTGGTGTCAAGCCTGCTTGGTATCCTCTCTGTTCTCCCTCTCTCTGCCCCTCCCCTGCTCATGCGTTCTCTCTCTCTTTCTCTCTCTCAAAAATAAATAAACATTAAAATAAATGTTTATTTATTTTTTTTAATGTTTATTAAACATGAAAAACAACAAACGGTAAGATGATGACCTGAGCTGAAGTCAACGCTCAAACGACTGAGCCACCCAGGCACCCCAATAAACATTAAAAAAAAAAAAAAAAAAAAAAAAAAAAAAAAAAAAGGCAGTAGAAAACCAGTCCTTTTTATTAAAAGGCCAACTTTTCAACCAATTTCTTTTAATAGTTTTGGAATCACTCCCATGATAGGCACAGACTCATCTCTGGGAGATGGAAAATTGTGGAGGGCTATGCATGGCCATGGGAAGAGTGAAGGCATCAGGTATTCTGCAGGTCAGGAAAATGGAACCCAAGAGGCAGAAAAGGAATAAAGAAAGGCAAATGGGATGGCAGCAAACATAACCTCTCATATGTTCCAGCAGCGTCTCCCCCCAGCATGCTCTGTGAAAGGCCACGCTCTGTGCTGGTTCAGCTCGACTCCAACCCCTCCTCTGACACCAGCTGGTTGCTTATGTGCAGAGCAGCTAAGGAGGCGGCTACACTACTTGCCTGAGGGTTCCTCACATGATGCAGCTGTTTCACTAATCTCTTGATAATCTTTATTCTGTTGCACTTGGCTGAGTTGAGACATGTTTTCTATAAAATGCAGAACCAGAGTGTACTGTTATTATTTAATTCATAGGAGGGAACCAAGAAAACAAAGGCAAAAGCAAGAAAAGCTAAGTAAACACAGAATCATCCAGCCTTACCATCATTAGCTTCAATAACCTTAATTAGATTTTCAAAAAAAAGTACCTCCATATGTCTAACAGAGAAACCAATTTTCCACTTTAAAAACTGGCCAACTCTGAGCTAAAACTTTTCAGCAGTACTTACCAAAACCCTTAAAAATGTACATATTCCTTGGCCTAGAAATTCTACTTCCAGGAACAGATTCAAAGAAAATAATCAGAGATGAATACCAAGATTTATTACATACAGTATGTTTATAATAGCAAAAATTAACAAATAATGTACAGGTCTAACAATATGGAGTTGATTAAATCAATCGTGGCACATGCATATGATGGACCACTATGCTTATTGAAGTCACATTTTAAAAGAACATTTTAAGACATGGGAATGCAAGCTGGTGCAGCCACTCTGGAAAACAGTATGGAGATTCCTCAAAAAATTAAAAGTAGAACTACCTTATGACCCAGCAATTGCACTACTAGGTATTTATCCAAGGGATACCGGTGTGCTGTTTCGAAGGGACACATGCACCCCAATGTTTATAGCAGCACTATCAACAATAGCCAAAGTATGGAAAGAGCCCAAATGTCCATTGACAGATGAATGGATAAAGAAGATGTGGTGTATATATATACAATAGAGTATTACTCGGCAATCAAAAAGAATGAAATCTTGCCATTTGCAGCTACATGGATGGAACTGGAGGGTATTGTGCTAAGTGAAATTAGTCAGAGAAAGACAAATAGCATATGATTTCACTCATATGAGGACTTTAAGAGACAAAACAGATGAACATAAGGGAAGGGAAGCAAAAATAATATAAAAACAGGGAGAGGGACAAAACATAAGAGACTCTTACATATGAAGAACAAACAGAGGGTTACTGGAGGGATTATGGGAGGGAGATGGGCTAAATGGGTCAGGGGCATTAAGGAATCTACTCCTGAAGGGGCGCCTGGGTGGCTCAGTTAGTTGAGCATCCGACTTCAGCTCAGGTCATGATCTCGCAGCTCGTGAGTTTGCACCCCACGTTGGGCTCTGTGCTGACAGCTCAGAGCCTGGAGCCTGCTTCCGATTCTGTGTCTCCCTCTCTGCCCCAACCCACTCGCATTCTGTCTCTGTCTCTCTCAAAAATAAACAAACATTGGGGCGCCTGGGTGGCGCAGTCGGTTAAGCGTCCGACTTCAGCCAGGTCACGATCTCGCGGTCCGTGAGTTCGAGCCCCGCGTCAGGCTCTGGGCTGATGGCTCAGAGCCTGGAGCCTGTTTCCGATTCTGTG